TAATTTGTGTTCTTGCTTTAATAATTTCAAATGGCTATCAGGATATTCTGGCTAGTAAGAGTGATATTGATATCTAGTTACAGTAAGATGTAACAAGTTCTACTAATTCTGGTATAGCAGTAGCATTCTCCTTTATGGCTTTGTTGAATTTTCTTTGAACACTGGGTAAACTCTTTACTATTATTTGTTCATCAAATAGTTACTTTAAAATGTCATTGAAATTAATGATGTGAAGTTCTTATTTGTACTTTATATCTGAGATGGTGCTTACTCTTGCCTCTAGTTTTTGTTTTATAATTGTACTATTTCTATACTGTTGTTTACATTTTTTAAAGATTTATTTGAAAGAGATGTCTCTGACTGTTGGTTCACTTCCCAAATGGTCACAGTGTCAGGGCCAGGCTGCAGCTCAGAGCCTGGCACTTCACCCAGGTCTCCACTTGGGTAGTAGGGATGCAAATATATGGCCCATCGTCCAGTGCTTTCCCAGGTGCGTTAGCAGTGATCTGGATCAGAAGTAGAACCATCCGCTTGGGATGCAGGCATCACACTCAGTGGATTAACCTGATGTACTATGATACCATCCCCTGATGCTTATTATTAAAGTTGTACATTTACCATTTTTCTTTAGTAATTCTTCTAGAAGACTTTTTATGAATGATATTTGTTTCCTTGCGACCATAGTAAGAAGTGGGTCCAGAAACATGCACGTAGAAATGTCATGTAAGCAACTTATGACCAATATATGAAACCTTGTGTTCCATTAATGAAATTTACAACAAGCGTAGTGGGAAAAGTGGTATGGAGAAGCCTGAGTTACTCCTCCTCTTCTTTCTTACTCATTTTGAAATCTTATTTCTTTGCAAAGCAGAGAGACATAGAACTTACAAATGCTGTTTCACTCCCCAGATGGCTGCACAGTCCAGGGCTGGGCCATACTGATGCCAGGAGTCAGGAGCTTCTTCTAGGTTTCCCATGTGGAGGAGATCAGGGCTCAGGATTTGGGCCATTTTCTACAGCTTTCCAAGGTACTTTAGCTGGGAGCTGGATCAGAAGCAGAACCACTGGAATTTGAACCTGTGCCCATATGGATTTTGTGCATGGGGTCTTACCCTGCTGTGCCTTAGTGTTGTGGTACTTTTTTTTATATATGTGTAGATAATTAGTTGAGAGTCATGCACATTTTTGATAATTACTGATGAATATGTGAAAAAGACTTCAAACAATTTTTGCCATCATTATAGAAATGTTTTGTGTTGGGCCCAGCACAATAGCCTAGTGGCTAAAGTCCTTGCCTTGATTGCGCCAGGATCCCATATGGATGCCAGTTCTAATCCTGGCAGCCCCACTTCCCAATCAGCTCCCTGCTTGTGGCCTGGGAAAGCAGTGGAGGATGGCTCAAAGCCTTGGGACCCTGCACCTGTGTGGGAGACCCAGAAGAATCATCATCTTCTTTTTTAGAAGTTTCTGACTCCTGGCTGCAGATTGGCTCAGCTCTGGCCGTTGCAGTCACTTGGGGAGTGAATCATCGGACGGAAGATCTTCCTCTCCATCTCTCTTCCCCTCTGTATATGACTTTGCAATAAGAATCAATAAATTAAAAAAAAAATGTTTTGTGTTACAGTTTTAGTTTAGGGGCTGGCATGGTCGCGCAACAGGCTAATCTTTGACCTGCTAGCACCAGCATCTCATGGGCACTGATTTGTGTCCCGACTATTTCACTTCCCATCCAGCTCTCTGCTTGTGGCCTGGGAAAGCACTAGAGGATGACTCAAGTATTCATGCTGCTGCATCCACGCACCCACGCACCCACATGGGAGACCTAGAGGAAGCTCCTGGCTCCTGATTTTGGATTGATTCAGCTCTGGCCATTGTGGCCATTTGGGGAGTGAGCCAGTGGATGGATGGAACATCTCTCTTTCATTCTTTTTGTAAATCTGTCTTTAACAAAGAGAAAAAAAGAAATTTTAACTTGGCATTAAACTCCCACCCTCAAGTTCCACTTAAATACTTTCCTCTTCATGTTCTTCCCAACCTCCAAAGAAGTAAAATGAAATAAACTCAAAGAACTCATAATAGTTTGTGGAAATAAGGCCAATTCATCTCTGCAGAACTGCTGTGCCAGGTCTTAAATATGTTGGTGAAAATTGACCTGAGCAGGTAACATTGTCAGGAAATCTTGCTCTATGTATGCTAGCTTAAAAAAAGGGGGAGGGTGGGCAGGTTTTGGGAGGGAATAATGGAAATCTCAGAGCCTATGGAATTGTATCATAAAATTAAACAAAACAACAAAAAAAGATACATTTCTTGGAGAGGTAGCCTAGTGGCAAAATCCTCAGCTTACATGCACTGGGATCCCATACGGGAGCTGGTTCATGTCCCCGTGGCCCTGCTTCCCATCCAGCTCCGTGCTTGTGGCCTGGCAAAGCAGTTGAGGACGGCCCAAAGCTTTGGGACCCTGCATCCATGTGGGAGACTCAGAAGAGGCTCCCGGTTCCTGGCTTTGAGATCTGCTCAGCTCCTGCTGTTGCGGCCACTTGGGGAATAAATTATCGGATAGAAGATCTTCCTCTCTTTCTATACCTGACTTTCCAATAAAAACAAATCTTTAAAGAAAAGTAAGACTAGAATAATATTAATCAGTTTAAGAATTGCTTAGATTACCAATATTTCCCATGTTATTTTTTTTAAGAAAGTTTATTTTTGTTTGACAGACAGAGTTAAATTGGAAGAGACAGAAAGACAGACCGTCCATTCCCCAGCCTACTCCGCAAATGACAGTAGAAACCAGGACCTAGAACCTTCTCCAGGTCTCCCATGGGAAAGGGATGGTGCAGGGGCCTAAGTACTTGGGATGCCCAGTGTTGACCTTCCATACACACTAGCAGGGAGCCAGATCAGAAGCGGAACAGCCAGGAAATGAAACAGTGCCCACATTCCATGCTTTATCTGCAGTTTCATATGCCACATCACAGGCTGGCCCCAATCAAATTTTCTTAATCATTAGTTTATACTCACATTGCCTAATAATAGTACAGTGTTGCCATATATTTCTTTGTAGTTTCCTGCAAGATGGTTTAAAAAATAAGAGTGAAATTAACAATATACCAGTGTGTCCAAAATGCTAATTTTAATACCTAATCAATATGAAAATTGGCATTTTTGTATTTTTGGTACTGTCTGAAAGTGTTTTAAATTTCTTATTGGTAAAGAGAGAGAAGAGGGGGAGAGGAAAAGGGAGAGAAAGCGAGTGGAACACAGCACCCCCTGAGCTTATCCCCAAATGCCTACCAAAGCCAGGGCCAGTCCATGCTGTGGGCAGGCACTGGGAAATGAATCCTGGTTTCCCACTTGGGTGACAGGGATCCCAGTAACAGCACCTGCACCCTGGCCTGCTGCCTCTTGGGGTGTGCATCAGTAGGAACAGGGATGGGAAGCAGAGCCCGGAAGAAGCAGGCAGCACTCCTGAGAGGATATGTGGCAGTCCCCAGCAGGGATTGCTCAGTGCAGTGCAAGACCAGCCAATGCCACAAACTGTGGAAATCCAGTGTGCACTTTACACTTAGGGGGCATCTCATTGCAGGCATTGAGTGCTAAGTAGCTACAAGCAGCCACTGACTACATCTTAAACAGCAGGTAGCTGCCTCTCTCCATTTTTCTAAAAAAATTTATTTTATTGCAAAAGCAGATATACAGAGAAAGTGCTTCTCTCTGCTGGTTTACTCCCAAGAGCCAGGAGCCAGGAGCTAGCTTCCTCTGGGTCTCCTATGCTGGTAGAGGGTCCCAAGGCTTTGGACTGTCTTCTACTGCTGTCTCGGGCCACGAGCAGGAAGCTGGATGGGAAGAGGAGCAGCCGGGACATGGGCCGGTGACCATATGGGATGCTGGTGGATGCAAGGCCAGGATTTAGCTACTAGGCTAGTGTACTGGACCTACTGCCTCTTTTCAGAGTCTGCCTGTGGCTAGTATAGTTGAAAGGTGATCAAAAAAACAAAAGGCCCTCTAGAACTTCCAGATACTGATGCTTCTATTCACTGCAACCACTTTCTTCCAACTGTTGTTTTGGAAAGAGCACAATTGGGAACATGCTTATTACTGTATCTCAAACCAAGTAGCACCCGTTTCCTGACTCCCAGAAAGCCTGAATCATCCAAAGCGTTGACTCATGAGCCTAAGGTGAACCAAAATTGCCTTCCAAGGCATCCTTCTCTTTCCATTTTCCTCTCTTCCCTCTCTCTCTCATACTTTGGATGAGTCATTCTCCTAGGATGTAACAGTCCAGCAGCCGGAGAGCTCCAAATTCTTCGCGGAAGAACAGCCGACTTTGAAGTGCTCGGCTGGGATAGCCACGTGATCTAGCACCGTCCTGTGTTGCCCACCCCGTTCTAGGGTCTGCACTTGTAGAGTGGGAGGGGGTGTTATATCGCCTCTTCTCCCACTCCCCAACCTCCCGTTAGGGTGGTGGTGGCGGCAGTAGTGATGTGACTGAGAATTTAAACTTGAAGGCACACCCTCTTTCATTTCAGAATCTCTCAAAGTCCCCAGGGCCAGTGTCACAGCCCTGTTTATACCTTTCTGTACTTTTTTTTTTCCTTTCTGGGCAAGGAAACTTTCCACCCCGGGTCTCCTAGGATAACGCCCTTCCGGTGGCAAGCCGGGAACCTCTCTGACCCCTTGCGGCCCGTTGATCCATTCGCAGCCCTTTTCACATTTAGTAGGGCTCTAACTAACTGACCGCCGAGGCCAAGCCCCCACCCCAATTCACACGACTCCCCAGGGTGGAGGGTGGAGTGGCCAGGGCCCCGCCCCGCCCACCGAGCCCAGCCCCAGCCGCTAACACAACAGCAAATTCAGGGAGTCCCACCCACTTCGAACTGCTTCCCTTCCCGTTGGACCGGCAGGCTGCCCATCTTCCTCAGCCCGCAGCCTATTGGCGCGCTCCCTCCCGCGCCCTACCCTCCCGGCCGAGGAGGGTGAGTCACGCCAAACTGGGCGGAGAGTCTGCTGGGCTCTCGGCTCGTCTGGGCGGCGGCGGCGGCAACTGGGGGACGGGCGGGTGGCGCATCACGGGCGCGGAGGCAGGAGGAGCCGTCTCATTGTTCCGGGAGCCGTCGCCACTGCAGGTCCCTCGGCTCTGTGGGCTCGGCCCCTGTCATCCTTCCCCACCTCCCCCCACAACCGCCCGCGGCTCTGAGAAGCGGCCCCGGCGCCGGCAGCAGCTGCAGCATCCTCCTCCGACCCAGCCATGGAAGACTTGGACCAGTCGCCTCTGGTCTCGTCTTCGTCCGCGGACAGCCCGCCCCGGGGTCCGCCCGCATTCAAGTACCAGTTCGTGAAGGAGCCGGAGGACGACGAGGAGGACGAGGAAGAGGAGGACGAAGAGGAAGAGGAGGACGAAGACCTGGAGGAGCTGGAGGTGCTGGAGAGGAAGCCGGCCGGTGGGCTGTCTGCGGCCCCGGTGCCCGCCTCCCCCGCCGCGCCCCTGCTGGACTTCAGCAGTGACTTCGTGCCCCCCGCGCCCCGGGGACCCCTGCCGGCCGCGCCCCCCGCCGCCTCGGAGAGGCAGCCGGCTTGGGACCCGAGCCCCGCGTCCTCGGCCGGGCCCACGCCCTCCCCTCCGGCCGCAGCCGCAGCCTCGCCCTCCGAGCTCCCCGAAGACGACGAGGACGACGACGAGCCCCCGGCCCGGCCGCCCCCTCCTCCCCCGGCCGCAGGGAGCCCCCAGGCCGAGCCCGGCCCGGCCCCCGCCGCGCCCCCGTCCACCCCGGCCGCGCCCAAGCGCAGGGGCTCCTCGGGCTCCGTGGGTGAGTGTGCGCCCCTCCCTCTTTTGTGTGCCTTCCCGGCTGCTTGGGGCCGGGCCTGCGCGCTCCCCCGGAGGGGGCTTTGTCTGCGGCAGTCGGGGCGATGGCGCCCCCCGTGGTGGGAGCGCGGGGAGAAGGGTGGGGCGGCCGCAGAAGCCCCGGGCTGGTTCTTTATTGTCTGTCGGGCTTTCGGGGAACACGTGCAGCGCACCCCAGCTCCCGCGTTCTCTGGCCTGGGTGCCGCGTTCCACCACGTCCCGGAAGTTAGACTCCCACCCTGGGACGTGTATGCAGGAACTGGGGTTGTGGGCTCATTGGTCCGGCTGGCCTCTGAGGGGCGCACGGGAACCCCAGGGCGCCGCCCCGATCATTTTACCCTCGTGGTGGGATGCCGTAGGCGAGTGGTCCAGTTTTGCTTCGGGCACCCTTCCTTACCCACTCCACCCGTCTCTCCCGTCCTGGCGTGGGGCGTCCCACGCGCCTCATTCCCTCCCTCCCCGTCCTCTTGGCCCTGGTGGGAACCGGCCACATGGAAGGCGTCCACATTGACCCCACTGCAGTGAAGGGAGAGCGCCTCCAGCGGTGTGGGGCCGGAGTTGGGGGGAGGTCCTGCCGCCGCCCAGCCTCCCGGGTGTCCGGCTGCTTCCCGAGCTGCGGGACCAAGCCCGGGCTGCGGGCGCAGGCATCTGCAGCCGAGAGGGGCGGGGTCCTGCTGAGGTGTCCCTACAGGGTCGAAGGAACGGGAACTGCGGGTTGCTAGTATGCACAGGCTTAGCCTCTTTACGCATCAGATAAAAAGGCAAAATGGTTGACACTCTTCAAGGGTGAAAACCTGTGGAGTCTTCCTCGGGAATTGTTGGCTCATTGAACTTGCCTGTGGTACATTCACCGTGAGTCCTGGGGAAGACATCTTTTCATTTACTGGTTAGAAAAACTTTTTTTTTTTTTTTGGAAGTATTTTGTACGTTGACAGACAATATGTATGTAAAATGATTTTAGATCGTCATTCACGCGAGGACCTGGTTGTGTTTAGGGGCGTTGTTTTATTGCCCCTTTAATCTTGGAAAATTATTTCTTTGCAAATTGTTCATAAGTACCTTATTTTTTCTAGAAAGTGTCCCACTATGCATGAGGTCTTTCTATTTTTTTTTTTTTAAGATTTATTTCTTTGAAAGGCAGAGCAGCTGAGAGGGTGAGACGCATACCTTTCTTTGTATGTAAAGGATAGATGCCTGCTGAGAAATCTTAACAGCTTTATAAGATTGTAAAGGTTCATTTCGTAGAAAATAGGAGTCTGAGATTACAGAGTATTTTTCTTCAATTCACTTCTTCAATGGGGAATATAGGGCAGTTGTGATGTTTTTGAATATTGATGTGCCCCCCAAGGCACTGCTCAGTGCACTTAAAACTACAATAATGATCTTAGAAAACCTTACAGGAAGAATAGCTCAGCTCTCATTTTTTCTGTATGAACAAAGCACACTTGAGAAAAAGTGAACTAGACAAATATGTAAAGAGATTTTCAAATGGAGCAGTGATTGACAGGGCTTGGCAACTTGTCTTGTGTTTATGCATGGGAACAAAGAGAAGAGTTCTGTTCTTGGAACATGGAAGGTTGAAGTGGTTGCAGCAGCCGCAGTGGAATCTTGACTGATGGAATCCTAAATTTAGAAGACAAAGGATAGAGACTGTTACCCACTCAGGGGATTCTTTTGTGATTCTGTATTGATGATAACTGGAAACTTAGATTCCTTTGGTAAATGGAAGCCTGTCGTGATTATGGTCATGAATAGTTAAGCCGTGTTACTGTGTAGGTTTTTTTTCCTTTTTTTTTTAAGGATTTATTTTAATTGGAAAGGCAGCATTACAGAGAGGAGAGAAAGCTCTGTCCACTAGTTCAGTCCCAAAGTGGCTGTAGCAGCTGAACCCAGGAGCCAGGAGCTTCTTGCGGGTCTCCCACATAGGAGCCGGGTTCCAAGGTTTTGGGCCATCCTCTAATGCTTTCTTAGGCCACAAGCAGGCAGCTGGATGGGAAGTGGAGCAGCTGGGCTACAAACCAGCGCCCACATGGGATCCTGGTGCATGCAAGGCGAGGACTTAAGCCACTAGGCTATTGTGCTTAGCCCATGTGTATGTTTCTTGATGCAATGAAGAGTTACTTCATTAATTCAGCCCATTGATTGTTTTAAGAGCTGAGCCTAGTTCTAGGCTTGGAGGGTACAATGATGAGCATGACAGATGTGTTCCCACTGGGGACAGTATTGATAACAAGCTGAGAAATAAAGGATCCAGAATAGTGGTGTAGTGAGGAAAGGCACTGAGAACGGTTAGGATGTGTGCGGGCTTTTCTAGGTTGGGTGATACTAATAAGGAGCTTGGGATTTGAGTCTTAGAAATAAAAAAATTTCCAGGCAGCCTCTATGACAAAAGCCTAGAGGCAGGAAGCATGCATGGGTTCCTTGCATGTGCATCTTTAGAATAAAGAGGAAAAATAGTGGAGAGTATATAGGGTGGGTTATACTCAGTGTTCTGGGTTCTGTTAGCAGGCCATGGTAAGAAGTTTGGCTTAAAAATACTTGTTATAGGAATATCCTGCATAAATGTGATTTTGGAGCTAAAATGTGGTTTTGAAGATTCATGCAGCCAGAGAGGTCCGATTTAACCAAAGACAAAAGTAGGTGAGAAATGTGCAGTGAATGCTTAACAGACTAATCTATTTGGAAGAGTTAATAGATTCTTAACATTTGCATATTTTATATGGCATTTGCATTAATTTAAAATTAAAGTCACTTTCATTTTACGAAAGATATCTTACATTTGTTGGTTCTCCTCAAATGCCTGAGAAAGCTGAGGCTGGGCCGTGCTGTAGCCAGGAGCTTGGAACTGCAGTCTCCCATCTAATTGGCAGGTAGCCAAGCACTTGAGCCCTCATCTGCTGCCTCCTGAATGTACTCGTGTGTGGGAAGCTGAATCAGAAACAGAGTGGGGACTTGTAGGTCCTCTCTGAAATGGGAAGTCGGGGCCCCAAGTGGCAACTTAATCTCTGCGCTTCATGCACACTCCTGTTACTTTTGAGTAAGCTGATTTACATTGGCTGACAGATTTTAGTTTTGCTGTTTGCTTTGTATCTGGAGCATTTTCACTGCAGTGTACTAACTCTGCAGACTAAAATCTCTTCACTTGACAGCTTTTATTTTCCCCACAGAGAAGCACCTAAGTTCAGGCTGTGGGGGCAGGGGAAAGATTGCTTAACGTAATCATTACAAGAACTGGATAGAAACTGACTGGAGAGAAATGTAAGCATGATCATTGAGGGTGACCCTGAACTGGTGCCTGGGCCTGTTCCAATCCAGTGCTGAGACTGAAAATGTTTGATGTTCATTCTTAACGGTACTGAATGCCAAGTACAGGAATTAGTTTTATTATCCTGCTGTAAGAGATACTGCTTTAAGTCCTGTGCCATCTGCAGTTGTCCTTGATTTTGGTAATTTATGTTATGAAACCAAAATAGTTTTCGTTGTTACTTCTAAAATATGAAGCTATTTTTCACTGCTTGCTGCATTACTGCTTTAGGTGTTGGAGGGGGTGGCGCTGTATGAACTGAAGCAAGATGTCGTGAGAGTAGTAGTAGAAAATTGGTGAAGGTTTCAAGAAAAGCAGGTGTACACATTTAGAAAGCCTTTCAGTCAATCTGAGAGTGGTATCTAATGTGAAACTGGTTGACCGTCATTTCATTTGGCTCAGATGGAATAGAAAGGACGCTAACAGACTAAGCGTGAACTCTTTCATTGGGTGTGAATCTCTGTAATCAGGTTGTAGAAAGGTTTTATGAAAGAAGAATTGATAGGAATTTCATGCCATGAATGTAAAAATAAGAGTATTAAATCACTCTCAAAGATGGATCAGGCTTGTTAATCACCGTGAAAATTTGTACATAAGTGAATAATGCTAAGTGTAGATGATGGCTTGGGATTTAAAAGTTAGTAATAAGTCCTACATTAAAAGGCATTTGTTATAGGGTTATTTATAATTGCATAGAAGCACATAATAGAAACTTAAGCTTTTGATTGACACAAAGCTGAAATCTTAAATATTTTGCAGTGTCAAGGCCAAGTACTGATGTGACATCTGGGGGAGTAGACTCCTCTAAGGAAAAGGGTGTCATGCTCTGTCTTCCTGTCTTCCTTTCAGTTTTTCCCTAGGAAAGAAGAAATGTTTGGGATGCATTTAGAGATTCTGGATAATTTCTTTCATTAAGCCCTTTCCAATTTCCTAACCAATTCAACAAAATTGGGGAGGGTTCTGTGGTCTTTATGGATATGGTGAGTTAGGTTTCAGATTGGTTCCCAGGAAGCTCACTGTCAAATTTATGGCCTGTTCTTGTAATTTTCAGACTATTTCAGATCATTTTCAGTATGAAGTAATGAATATATGTGGAAGCTTTGATAAATAACTCAATGGGGTAGTATTTATAGAATGTGCTATTTTAATATTGTCAACTTAGATTAGCTTTATTAAATATTTATGAAAGAGAATGCTCTTTTTTCATTAAATGACTATAATTTATGTGTAGTAACTTTCATAAAATATCTGAGAGCATTTAAGTTGATTTAAGACCCCAAATGAACAGTACGTGTTTTTAAATTATTTTAAAAATTTTTATTTATCATATTTTAAAAATTTTATTTATTTATTTATTTTGGAAAGTCAGATTTACGGACAGAAGGAGAGAAAAAGATCTCCTGTCTGCTGTTCATTTCCCAAGAGGCCGGAGCTGAGCTAGCCAGGAGCCTCTTCCGGATCTCCCACGTGGGTGCAGGGTGCCAAGGCTTTGAGCCATCTTCCACTGCTTTCCCAGGCCACATGCAGGAAACTGGATGGGAAGTGGGGCTGCCAGGATTAGAACTGGCATCCATATGGGATCCTGGCACGTTCAACTTGAGGACTTTATCCGCTGTGCTACCACACCGGGCCCTATTCTTGGTTCATCCTTGGAAACAATG